TTTTTTTTTTTTTTTTTTTTAGAAAAAGCATTGTGTTTTTAAATATGTTTTTAATGCTTCAAGTATACTTTAAACAATACTATAAAAAAACATTTAAAACATATTAAAAACATCAATTAAGCATGTTTTAATCTGTTTAAAACATGTTTTTTACCAACCCTGATTAAAGTAATATAAAATTTATGGCAGCAAACAATATCTCTGCAGTGACCTGCTCACAACTACCTTATACAATCATTGCTTCTCAGAAGCACAAGATCTTTACATGTTCAAAAACATAGACACTATCGTGAGAAATGAATGGGAAAGTCTCACTCTATCCTAATATTTATAGATATGCTAGAAGAGAAGAGAGCGTACCTTTCATAATATTTATATCATTCCATCGCTTTCTTCGCGTGCATACATCGCAAACTCTTTCTACTTTTTTACACGTATTTATATAAATATAACGCTGGAAGTTGAAGTAACAAAAAAAAACTTGTTCGTGCAGTTTATCAAAAGTTATATATATTGAATTTAAACTTTTTTATATGCACGACGGGCAAGAAATAATTTCTTGTAAATTTTTACAATACTCAAAAATGTATTTTAAGTTTGTTACGTCATAAACTGAGGATATTTCACAATTATTGGATTGCGACGATCACCCGTTTGGGGATGGATAGGATAGTCTTTTTTTTCTCTACACAAGATATAAAAAGTAAATTTTTTTATTATTAGATTTTTTAACGCTAGATTATATGTATTTATTCTCCATTTAGTCTCTCCTTTCTCCCAACGGAATTGTCGCAAAATATCTTTGGTTTGATTTGATATATATTTATGATATGTACATAACACAGCGGGTCTCAAAAATGATTGCTTTAATGATAAAGATAAAGCAGCTCCAAAAAAACGGCCTCGACATAGCCCTGTTCTCAAGCTACGACATATCTAATCTTAATATTTATTGGCACAATAATAAAAAATTTTTACGAAAAAATCCAACGCGTACGATGCCTTCAATTCGGAACCCCCCAGAGATACGTCTATGCATTATCCTAACCTTCACGACATCATGGCGTCTGATCGCAGTGCATAATCTGCAGCACGAACAACGGTATTGTCGGTGTTGTTCATCGCGTCTTATCGAGTTATCGCGCGGTACATCTCGCTCTACGCGATCACAAAGGGACGCGAAAGTGCTCGATTTTTTTTTTATCTCGTCGGGACCGATCGCCGCTCTTTCTTATCAACCGAATTTCGTCCGCGAGGCGTATCGCGAACGGAGAGAGTCCGGAGAGAAATCCGGAAAGATAACCTAACTGCCCGTAATCGTTCTCCGTTGCAATTTCGCGGCTCTAGTCGCAACTTTTTTGATACAACAGTACGATCCGATACAGCGGCGCGGTTCGAACGTACCGCTCGTGATAATTTCGGCGAATTCTCAGCCGAACAATTCGGCTCGTTCGCGATCGGATTGGCAAACGCGCGCTCGCGCGCGTAATTCTCGTCCGTGTTGCGTGATTCACACGCGGGTGCGCGGCGTGTGTGTGGCTCGTGTGCGTGTTCCGTGCTGTGGAATGCGCCAGAGTGGCGGTCGACGGGCGACGTCGTGAAGCCGTGAAGCCGTGAGATCGTGAAACCGGCGGAGGATCGTTCTCGCCGCGCTGAGTGCGAGGCAGTCGATATAGTCGATACTATGCGCCACGACGGATCGAGACACATAAATGCGCCCGGAATTGGAGCGCGGAGCAGCACGTGAAGTTCCAAGGGCGGTAAGTCGACACCGTTCCGCTTCCCTCCCCCACACGCTCCACTAACGCTAGGCGGAATTGGGTTGTCGCTAACGTAAAACTTCGCCCGTTATTTCGGTGAAATTCGAAACTGTCGCAGCTTTGTTTAAATTAAATTTTATCGATCGAAATAAGTGCCGGGGAACGCGATGCACTTTTCCCAAAGTAAAGAACGCTGTATAAACTTTTCTACGGGACAACCTAATTTCGCGTAACGTCACATTGATGACTTTGAAGTTTTCACAAGTTGGACGTAAAGTACCATTTCATAATTAATTACGAGAGGATCGTAATTAATTATTGATGTACCATTTCCAGCAAGAGTACGATAAATTTTTTTCTTTTTTGTTGAATGGCTGTAAGATAGAGATCCGAGACCTCGATGTTTTACAGCCAATTAACACGTTTGAAAAATTTGTATGACAAATATAGAGTCTATTTTTAAAACTACAACCATTTACGCAATTTTGAAATGGACTTGATATTAGCTTTAAGCCCATTCCACAGTTACGTAAGCTTAGTTGTAAGTGGTTACAAAAAGTGACCAATCACGGTTGAATATGAAGATAATATTGGACCATGGTTGATCGATTCTTGAGCTCATTCTACAATTGCGTAAACATAGTTGTGGTTTTAGTTGTAAGAATTAACCAATCACAGAGTCAAATACGAGGAAAATATTCGACTGCCATTAATCAATTCTTATGGGTTTATATCAATTCTTCTACAATAAGTCATTAGTAATAAATTCAGGGAGTCGATTGTGTATCTTGAAATGAGGTGAAAATAACAAAAGTGAGCAAATTCACTAGTTATTGACCATTTAAATTATGAATATTCTAGTGAATTTGCTCGCTTTTGTAATTTTCACCTCATTCGAGATACACAATCGACCCCCTGGGGATCGATTCTGTACTTTCAAACAAGGTGAAAATTACAAAAGCAAATTTACTAGGTGTTTACCAATGAAATTATCAGTATTATAGTAAATTCGCTCACTTTTATAATTTCCACCTCTTTCAAGATACAGAATCGATTCCCTGAAGTCAGAAGCTAGAAATTGACCAACCATAGTCGATTATTCTTCTTACATTAGACTATAATTGGTCAATTTTTAGCTTCTGTCTTCTGGTGGTCGATTGTGTATCTCGAAATGAGGTAAAAATTACAAAAGTGAGCAAATTCACCAGAATATTCATCATTTAATTGGTCATTGACTGCGTTCAGCGGAGAAAGCAGCTTTGCAATTGTTGTAAAATTCTACAACATAATTGGTCTTGCTCTTAGTTCTTTATCGGATCTAAATGTATAAACTAATCATATTCAAGAATTTTACAACGCAAAGCTGCTTTTTCTGCTGAACGCAGCCAATGTCTAGTGAATTCGTTCACTTTTGTTATTTTCAAGATACGCAATCGACTCCCTGATTTATTACTAATGGCTTATTGTAGAAGGCCCATTACAAGTACTTACACCTACGCTTACGCAAGAATGGGCTTCACACACTTGCTGAAAAGTATCCGTAATCTTGCGAAGAACTACGAGGTTTCGTAAGATCATTCATTGGTTCTCTCGCGCTTAGAGAAATCGATTCGCGATCGTCGTCACGGAGGATTTACATACCTATTTTTAAATCGTATTACATAAATCGCACGTCTCGAACGTGAGGTTTACAATGATCGTGGGAGGCGTCGCATAAAAATCACGCCTGCAATAAAAGTCCATCGCACGTGCCTCGCGAATGGCGTTTTGACCAGTTTTGACCCGCTTGTTGCATAAAGCGATCCTCAAATGTTCGCTTGTTTACTTTGATCCATCCTCGTAGCCGGCGCGGCCGTTCTAGTTCCGGATTTTATTTATCTCGCGCGTGCACTGAGAAAAAAAAATATAGTCAATTTTAATAAATATTTGGTTCAATACTGCCAACTAAACATTTACTTACAGTAAATAAATATTTGTCTAGTAAAAAAAATGATTGTTAAATCAAATTAACATTTCTTGTATCAAATAAATATATCTTTATATTTAATAAATATTTAGTTGGCGTGTATTCAACTAAATATTTATTAAAATTGACTATATATTTTTTCAGTGTGATGACTGCGAACACAACGTCATCCCGAGCTGGAAACTTTGTATCGAGTCTTTATATTTAATAAATATTTAGTTGGCGTGTATTCAACTAAATATTTATTAAAATTGATTATATATTTTTTCAGTGTGATGACTGCGAACACAACGTCATCCCGAGCTGGAAACTTTGTATCGGGCTGTTTTATTAGGCCTGTTCATTTTGGCTGAACTTTTGCGTTAATTCATCCTCCTTCCTTTTCTCTCCAGGAGGAAAGAAGAGGAAGAAAGATGAGCTGGTCAAACAAAACAGGCCTAAAGTCACGTGTACTTGTCCTCTGCTGATGACGAAGAACGTGTCACCCCTCGCTCCTCGTCTTATTATACATATAATCCCCGTTGATGTTAAAACGTCTCTTCTAAAATATCCGAAATTTGGATTAGAGTTCCCTCGCTGTGAAATGCAGCGCGAAAACACGCGAAAGTAGAATCCAATTTCCTTTCGTACAGGCAGGCAGGCAGGCAGCCGGCAGAGTTTTGTCGTCGACGAGGCGAAACCGTCGCTCGTGGCAACCGAGCGTGCCAATTGCCATTATGACGTGACTCTCCGCCGCGCTCGTCATTTGCATTTTCCAATCACGCGGTATTTCGCTAGCCTGCACGTCGTCGCGTCGCGTCGCGTTGCGTCGCGCCGCGTCGCGTCGTCCGGAGTTCCGGAGTTACCGTCGAATAAAGGCGAATAAAGGCGAATAAAGGCGAGCGCACAATAAGCGGAAGACGTCGCAAGTCGCAATCGGATCTCCGCAAAGGTAATTCGATATAAAAGTTTACTCGACGCCGGAATGCCTGAACGCGTCAAGTTACGCAAGCTTAAGCCGTGTACAACATCGTGTTTGCATTCATTGTATATTGTGAGTGATTGTCAGAACGTCTGACAGTTCGATATTTGTAAAGAGAAACGTGGCGTCGAAGAAAGAATTCATTCATGGTGTTATTCTCATCCAAGACAACACGACGTCGTTTTGACGTCATTTCGATGTTATCGTGACTTGTTTGTTGTGTTACTTGGGCAGTACATCGATGATTTTTCGGTCCTCTGTATTAAGTACAGAAGTTCGTGTTTCAAGTTACTTTCATTACTTTTACAAAAATTAAGTGATTCTGCATATAGTCTTTAATATTTATAGAAATTGCAGTAAAACTTTTCTTCTTTCTTTCGTCAAATTTCAAACATATCCATTTCATAACCTATTTAATAAATTTCGTAATCTATTTAATAAATCGTTTACGTACGTTAATTTAGCTATAAAAAAACAAGCCTAGAGAACACTACTTAAACGAGATGAAATTACAAAAGTGAGCAAATTCGTTAGATGTCGAATAAAATTATATAAACATTCTAGTGAATTTCCTCATCTTGTAATTTTCATCACATTTCGAAATACACGATCAATTTTCCAATTTTACAATTAAATATTAGTACACTAAAAAAAAAAATCTTAATTTTAAAGAAATACCTCTTTGCGGTATTAAAAAAAATTATTTCTTTGGATCAATGAAAATTTCTTTGAAAATACATATATCTTATTTCTTTCAAAGTACAATATCTTATTTTCAAAGAAATGTTCATTGATCCAAAGAAATAATTTTGAATACGAGCAAAGAGATATTTCTTTGAAATTGAGATATTTTGTTAAAGTGTATTCCAGTATTAAAAATGAAGTGCGCAAACGCGAATTAGCCAATCGTGCGTTGGGGATTAAATTAATGAGTGAAGATGCGATCGGTGGTTTTCCGATAAGAATGAGAACTTCTTATCTGCACACATATGTTGTATTATGCGGGCCTCGACCGTTAAAACGCGAGCGTGTAAAACGACCTTGCGGTTTGAAACAAAATACGGACGAGGCAAACAAGAAACGATCGCATACGCGAAACGACGGTACGTCCCTCCATTCGTAACAAGGAGAGGATCGTGGGTATCCTTCATGTTTTCTTCGTTACCGAACGACAACGTAATGTTCGCCATCTCGTCCTGGGAGGCCGCATTGAGGTACATCTTTGGTAATCGCTCTTTTTTCCGGAAACGAAGAAGGTTCGACGACCTCGGACTTTTTTTTGCGGTTTTAATGTAAGATTTAACGGCGAGGTAAGCTCAGTGATATATCTTGATGAGAAAAACGAGATAAAAATTGAGAGTTTTAATTACGCAAAATATATAAATCTTTCAATTTACGGAAACGTTAGAAGAATCCGTCGCGAAGCTCTGATTTACATCAAAGGTAACAAAGGCACTCGAGTGTCTTTCTGGAAAGATACGCGAGGTCTATTTCCTGCGTCTAATTAATAATTAATGACCGAGTTCGTCGACACCTCGCGAAAGCTCGACGGCGAGTCGTCGTAGCGATTTCACGCGTTTCGCAGCGCGAAATATTTCTATAAATATTTCTATATTTCTCAAAACGGATGGCAAAGATTTACGAGGATCGAGTATTCCTGGCGAAGGGATACGTCACGTGCGAGCAATTAGCATTTTATCGCGATCGACGTGCGATCGACGTGCTTCCATGCTATCTCCCGACCTGTTTAACATCGGCGCCTCGTCTACAGGGCGATCGATCTTCGCTCGAGAACTTGCATGGGGACGTGCGCGATTATCGCGAAAAGTGTTGCGGTATTGCATGTCTCGTGTAATGACTGCCTCTTCCTCCCCCCCCCCTCCTTCCCCCGTAAAAAGAATATTTTTACGATGTTTTTGTGGACTCGCTAATGGCCGCTGGCGTCACCGGAAAGACGCTCATTCCAGAAGCGACGTGAACTTTTTAAATGCCGACCCAATTTCGCGAGATTGTCCGGTGTAGTAATAAATTGGCAGACGATTCGAGAATCAGGGGAAACGCGCCAAAATTCTCAACGCCCAATTATAGGTCTCTTTTCCGTGGCTCTGAACTAGTGTCACACTTTTGGAACTTGAAGCGAGATTAGGTATATGTTCGATATTTGTCGAAAGCGAGAGAGTTCCAGTGCGGTGTCTCTAAAAAACGGATCATATATTCCATCCATCGAGATGCAGACCAAAGTGCATTTTTATAGCGACGTACTCGTCTGGAGAATATTCTTCTTTTTCATCTTCTGAAAATAATTTGCCGAGTCATAAGAACATTTAAGGCTAATACAATGTGCTCTTTGTGCTTCTATTTCTTGCTTTTTATTAGGATTCTGTTGTGTATTACATTTGCCTGGAATATTTATTGTTTATTTAATTGACACGAATATTTTCTTGTAGACAATGTGAATTATAAATTGGATAATACAACAAAGAAAGATTAATTTTATGATTGTTCATATATCTGACTTTAATATTTTGCTAAATAAAAATATATAAACGAGATAGAAGTTTTATGCCATTCGGTGTACCAACAAAGAACTCTGGTAATTCAGAGATTCTTTACTACACTGAAAGAAATGATGTTTTATCAAGAGTATTATTTTGATTGAAAATAGTTGATTTAATAACAGTATTGAAACAAATAACATTTTATTTAAACAAGAGCTCGTGTTTGTTACAAAATTGTTTTCAATTAAAATAATGCTGTTGATGTAACGTTATTTTTTTTCAGTGTAGATAGCACGTAAAACATAGTTTACATACTTCACATTATACACGTAAATGTAGATTATTATTTTACATATAAATGCACAACCTTGTGTTTTACCTCTTGCTTTTTTTTCCCCTCTTCGCGACCGTTTTATCATGTTTCTTGTCATGTGTTTCTTATCTCTTCCAAAGTTCGTCAACTTTTATCTCGGGCGAATAGAAAACAAAGAAACGGAATAAGAGAGCAAAGGACAAGAGGTAAAAAGTGATGAAGAAACAGAAAGCAAAGGGCATGTTGCAGATTAACCTTTATGTGTCAGTAAGGAAAACTGGAGATGCAAGTAGATAAACTTCTGATTAAATAAAAATAACCCGAGAATAGTTTAGAAACTGATGTATCGCACGAAGTCGATAGATAAAAATGAGACCACTGTCGCTAAAGTACGAGAAACTGTAATTTCTTATCCGATCTAATCAAATGTTTGCACTATTCCTCATGTCACACATTTCCATTTATCGTGACGCATATAGGCCAGAACGCAGACCTTTGCATAACGCATGATACATAAGAGAATCAACCGATCCGAGACCTCCATTTCATGGAAAGGAAGGACCGATTGATCAATTCTCTTATGCCTTATGTATCTGTGCTACGATCTTGTATTCGTTTTTCGAACGTCATCAAAAAGAAAGGGAAGAGAAAAATTGACAAGAGAGATACTCGCTCAAACTCAAGATCACGTAAACCGGGAAATTTTTTCGTACTGTTGTGTCCCGAAGGGCGCAAATATTAGCTTTCAATTTGAATGTAATAAGTCCGATATCTACGCTTGCAATTCCGCTATGAATGTGAAAACGATAACACTCTTATAGATATTTAATACTAGTACTGGCTAATTAATTACTTAATTTAAGTATTAAAAATATTGTTAACAGTAGTACTTTTAATACCGAAAATTAGTAATTAATTGGCTAATATTAGTATTAAATTTTTATAAGGGCGGTATCGGGTGTTTCATCGGTCAAGATCCTTATGTTACGTTTTTGAAATAACGCGGAGTGTGTTCAGGAATGGGCAGTATTTAAAATACGTATTTAAATACCAAGTGTACAAGTATGAAATGCAGATTTTTTTTCCAAAAAAAAAATACGTTAAATTTGGAAGAATGATAAAAAGTGGTTTATTCAAAGTATGCTCCATTGCTAGTTACACATTGCTTGGATTTGAACATAATTTAAAATAAATGTTATTTGATTTAAAAAAAATAATGTAATATTATTATATTTGATTTAATATTATTTGATTAAAAAAAAATAATGTATAATCAAAGAAATGTTTTCTTTAACCGTATAGCAACCTTTATTCAAATGCGTATTTGAATAGAATTTTTGAAGTATGTTACCCACTCCTGGGTGTATTGGGGTGCATGCGTTGCATGCAGTGCGGGAGTAGACGAGTGACCGACTTCGCTATTTAGGCGGGACCCGCGCTATGCCGGTCGCGCACCGCGCACGCCGCGTTCCATCACGCGGCGCAGCAGCGGCAGCGGCAGCGGGCAGAGTTGGTGGAGCAGAGCATAGTCGGGTAGTGGGGCGGCGTGCCGCGAGAGGGTGTCGCGCGAGACTGAGAGCGAGCTGAGCGAGAGACAGGTCAGGGCTGGGGCTCGCGTCAGTCAGTGCGCTCGCGTGCGGTGTGTCAGTCGTGCTGCATTCGCCAATCCTCTTTCGCTGCCGCGCGCGCGCGCTGCACTCTCCTTCTTCTTTTTCCTTCTCCCTCTCCCTCTTCCTCTCTCTCTCCCCTCTCTCTCCGCCGTGCCGTGCCGTGCCGCGCCGCGCCGCGCCGGAGGAAGTCGCGCGTTTTACCGAGCGCGGCCGAGTGCAGAGTTCCCGGGCGCCGCTGAACTGGAGTCGGGACTGTCGGGAGTCCGTCCGGCGGAGCGGAGCGGAGCGGAGCGCAACGAGCGCGCGTTCGCGAGCGGCGGATTACGTCGTCGGTTAGGTGCACGCAGCACGGATAGTAACGCGACGGACGCGATGCTGACAGTACGCGCGCTTACATAATTATCCACCGTCGTCGGTGCGCATTAGCGGCGCGTAAAGCGACGCGAAAGAGAGAAGAGGAAGAGAGAGAGAGAGAAAGAGAGCGAGAGCGTGAGCGTCGTCCCCTCACGGCGGTGGTTGTCCGTTTGCTCGCGCTCCTCTTCGATTTTACTCCGTTTCGTGATCACTCGGGTACGTATACCGACACACGTAAGAATCATACGTGACACACACTGAAACCTTCCTTTCTTCTCCGTCGCGCCTCTCCGCTTCCTTTATCCAGCACCGCTTCTCTCGCTTCCTTCTCCCACCTCGCGGGACGCCTATGCACCTATCTCTCTTTCTCTCTTTCCCTCTTTCCGCTCCGTTCCCCTCCCCCTCCCTCTCCCTCCACACTCTGACAGCTTGGTCGATTCACGAATCCGCCGGGGCCCCCGGATAGCTCGCGCTCTTTCCCGGGCCTCTTCAAAATAAGGCCAAAAGGTTACGTTCCTCACGAACTTGGAAAATTCCGCCTCCCTTCTCTTCCCTTCCCTTCCCTTCTCCTCCACGCCCTTCGATCCCTGCTCCCCACCCCCCCTCCTCTCTACCTTGCTCGTCCTAGTTGTGTTTTTATTGTTTTCTCCGTTCGCTTTTGTTGACGACGAAAGGAGGACGTCACGACATCGTCGTCGTCATTGAAACGATGACGACGATGATGACGATCACGATTGCTTCGTAAACATAAGCGAGTGTAGTACGCGGAAATTTATTTTCTCCGTTTCGTCCGCGCGTGTTTCTCAGGCCTCGAGGCGTGAATGAACGAACGCGCGTGACTCCCTGTCTCTCGTCGACGTACGAATTCCCGCCAGGCGCGGGAGAGGGGCGGGGGAGGGGGCGGAGGGGCACTCAATGAAATTCGATATCGTTAGAATCGTACGGGTACTCGCGATGAACAAAGTATATCGCGTTACTTTCGAAACCGTCTCGATCCTTTGCCGATCGCGGTTTGATGGAGTTACTACCCCTTCTTACACGAGACATGTAAAAATCAGACTCAAATTAAATAGATGGGTTAAAGCTGCATTGACACGTAAATGATTCTGTAAACTGAGTTTTTACAAGTATAAGAAAAGAAAATCTAAAGTTCGCGAGACTCGAGATATTTCTATAATATTCAATTCTGTTGTCCATGCAGAGCATTTTTTTTTTTTTACGATATTCGTTACTTATGCTTGCCTACTTTGATTTTCGCCTGCCATCTGATTCTGTTTTTGTCCTTACTTGCCTTTGTTTGTTTGTTTCTCACACACAGGTCTGGCATCAATACATATATTGCACATTTATTTTCTATTTATTTTGAGACTGCTTAGAGAGAAAGCGAGAGAAAGCGAGAGAGAGAGAGAGAGAAAGATGAGAGCATTCGAGGGCGCAGACTGGCCTACGAGCGTAGCGGCGTTGTCGTACGGGGAAGACGTAGTAATGAATTTGTTTATATTTTTTGTATTTGCCGATGATCCTCCCGTCGATGGTCGTTTCACTGGACGGTACCAGTTGGAGTATACAACAGCAACCGCAACACCAACTGCTGGTAGTGGACTCGGTCGCGCAGCAGCAACAGCAACCGCAACAGATCGTCGCGTTGAATCAGATCGTCGCACCAAATCAGATTTCGTCATCGGGAGGTGATCCACAGCAACAGTGCCACAAAATGACTGACCAGCGAGACCAGCAACAGCAGCAACAGCCGCAGTCCCAGTTTCAGCAACAGCAGCAACAACAACAGATCAAAGGCAATGAAGAACCAAGAACAAATCTGATTATTAATTACCTTCCGCAAAACATGAATGAGAAGGAGTTGTACAGTCTATTTGTCACGATTGGTCCGGTCGAATCCTGTCGAGTCATGAAGGATTACAAGGCAAGCCATATACTTTCTATTTGAGATCTCGTACAAATGATTTTTATATAAAATTAATTTTACGTTTCATTTTTCAGACTGGGTACAGCTATGGCTTTGGTTTTGTCAACTATGCCAAAGCTGAGGACGCGGCGACGGCGATAAGCACATTAAATGGTCTTCAAGTGCAAAATAAGCGTCTGAAGGTCTCGTTCGCTCGGCCTTCTGGAGAAGAAATTAAAGAAACGAATCTTTACGTTACAAATTTACCAAGGTAATTATTTTTCTTGTTTGGATTTTCGTCTTCCGATAGACGCAGAGATTATACAATTTATATGCATTTACCTAGTCATATTTCTTGTTTCTTTCACAATAGAATTTTTTTTCCTTATTGATAGTTCCTTATATTTGAGATAGTTTTCTGATTTAGAATTGAATACGGAAATATTATATTTAAAGACACAATTTATTTTTACAGAAATATAACGGAAAGCCAAATCGACGAACTCTTCAGTAAATTCGGCAATATTGTGCAGAAGAATATATTGAGGGATAAACTGACCGGTTTACCGAGAGGAGTAGCGTTCGTTAGGTAGATAATTATTTTTTATCATATCCGATTTTCCCTCCTTTTAAATATTGATAAAAAGTTTACGTTTATAAGTACCGTATTTACACACGCATGAAAAAGAGAGACGGTAACTTTAATGATTTAATAAATATGTCGATTTATGACACTTGCACATTTTCGTCAAGTATAAATAACGCGCCGGTATTGAAGATTGGAACAAATTCAAAACAGCTGCTCGCGACAATCATACTATATCGTTACACAACTACGGTCGTGTATATATTCGTATGCGCGTACTTATTTTGCGATAGTTTCCTGCCAAAGTATTTTTGTGTACAGCTCCTGGTTTTAGTTGCACAATTCTGATATGCTCCCTTTAGTTTGGCCCAGATTACTGCAAAACGTGAATAAAACTAGAGATAGCAAAATTGTGGGAAATAGGTTGTTGGAAATAGTTATTGCAATGTATGCCAACAGCTGGGAATCTTGCTAAAATGCCTCTTGGTTATCCTATTTCGATTTTATTAAGCTTAAAAATAAATAACAGAAATGTGTGCTGTGTGAAATATGTTTGACATCGTAAGAATTTCTCACTTCAACTTACACACTTCAGATTATTACCTTTATCTGACAATGAGGTATTTAATACACATTCGCGATTGTTTTATCTAAAACTTGATTGAACTCAAAATTGCCTTCTAATTTGTCCCGATATAGATTCGATAAGAGGGAGGAAGCCCAGGAGGCTATCGCACAACTTCACGGTACAATACCGGATGGTGGATCAGAGCCGCTTAGCGTAAAAATCGCGGAGGAACACGGCAAACAAAAAGCGGCGTATTATGCGGGCTGGCAGGCGGGATACAATCAAAGCCGCGGTAAGTAATTTTATATCTTGCGAGACCGCTGCATTACTAGATTTTATCTCATAGCTTGGCAGTGGTAATCGATAAATTAAGCGCGAATTTCTTATGCGCGATTGTTCTCGTTGGAATTCAGAGGTCTCTCGAACAAGTAAAAACAGAATTAGCACTGCCTGGTGAAGCTTGCATTTTTTGGCTTCGAACACTTCTATGCTAAAAAATATATATATATATTAGCTAAAATATATAATTAATATATGTATCATATATATATATATATATATTTATTACAATTATTTCGTTTGATCGAAAGATTATTATATATATATATCATACTATTTGCCTGATATATGTCAAACACAATTTTTTTGACCGAGCGTATATTCGTTTTTCTCGTATCTCGATACATTTCTCAGATTTGCTAATGTAGATCATTTTTATATGGCGCAATGTGCTTCTTGCCGCGACACACGTTACTATCACCGTGTTTTAGAGATGCCTTGCATCACACATTTAACATATTTTCCTCTGTCTCGGATAAAGATCTTGAATTTTACCGCGTGCATATCAGCGTAGACAGATGAATACGGTTGACTCTGTAGCATAGGTTGCTATTTATAGATACACATTGTATTTTTTTTTCTTTTTTTTTCCTTTTGTCATACTGTTTGTCTAACGTTGAAATGTTTTGTCAGATAAAATGGCTGCATCTAAATCAGACCACCACGACTTAACGCATTAAGCACCTTTTGTATACACAGAGAACCGAAAGGGTGTTTATATTCTGACACGTTGTACACACGACTACACGTTAAAAACGCGGAGAGATCTCTTCGCATCGAACGACTGGAGACACGGTTTCCCGCGTTTCTTTACTTCTTTATACGTCTTCGTTTCTTCTTTTATTTCTGCTTTTTCAAAGCGCATGATTCGAGATATAAGAGAATAAAAAAAAGACTCCGTCTCGCTCGGACGGTTTCCGAGCAAAAATGAGAGAAAAAAAAGAGAAAAAACAAAGCCGCTTAAAGGGCCCTTCTGTATATACGACTGAGCGGGCAAGAATGCAGTGTTTGTGACAGAAGAGTCTTGTGTGTGATCTGATGACGAGAGGTACGCGTGGTACAATTATGTACACGAGACACGGCTAGTCAGTGACACGCGCGGCATTTGCGATATATAAACACCTTACACACCGGGAGACACTCTATTGCCGCACAGAAAAAAAAAAGGAAAAAGAGATAAAATGTTGATAGAAACTTTCAGTTTGGATGCTGGCTAGTTGGATCAATTATTTACGATTCGCTATCTTCTGTTATTTTTTTCTAGCTCTGCTGCTATTGTTCGTTTTTTTGCTTGATACTTTGTTGTTAAAAGTACTATCGTTGCCCATGTACAATATTATATCGAGCACACAGTAGCTTCGCATCCGCCGATATTAAATATGTTCCATATGGCTGATGCTGTTTGTGCTTTAGCGCGACTAAGGCGTTGTTTAAGTTTTTGTACGATACAATTTTGTTATATATATATACATACCTATATTATTTCCGAAATATATATTTTGTTTTCACAAACATGTGTATGTTCTGTCTTCCACTGGTAATTCTATTCCAGTCCTGTTTAATTTTAAGCGAATCCAAAGCAAGTTAGGCGATTTGTAAATTACGTCTTATCAAGCGTTCGATTGTTATGTTTTAGCTGTTTGAAGGAAAATGGAATTATTTAATACTTCTTTCTTAAAAGAGACGAATATTTTAAGTTGAAGATTAATTTCCCAATTAGTTGTTCGTTCAGATATTAATAATTCGTTAAAAAAAAAAGAGGATATGAAAGCTCGCTCGCGAAAATACGATTTGTATCTAGCGATTTGGCTGTGATTGATTGCGATTTTATGCTTTAGTAAACAATCCAAGTGCATGATGCTGTGTCCTTATCGAGCCGTTGTAACGCGCAAAAATGGAATTTATATGAAAGACCTAATCAATGACGTTTTCATTTCTATGCATGCCTCTTGACTCATGAAGGAGAGCGTCTGTACTCGACGAGGAATAAATATCAGCGCTATGCTCATTATCTATACTGAAAGGCGACAAGTGTTGTTGTTATTGTTGTCGCCGCCTTGCCGTTGAACGTTCCGAATGTCATGTACACGCACACGCGACCGTCCTTGCAGTTGTAATCAAACGAAGGCTTCGCGACTTAATTCACAGAATTGGGATTATGGACGTAAACCTACTCGCAATGTGTTCCATCGATGTGATTTGTAATCGTGCGAGGAACGTTCTCTGCTCGGCGGTATCCAAACGATCTTAGATAGCAAATTGTTTGTTAATTGTGTAAATTGCGCTCGCCGAATCGTTTGTTATAAATTGCGTTAATTCTACGTTATGTTGTATCTCGTTTTATGCAATTAGGACGTAATTTTCAAAAGTTTAAGTTGATTTTAGCGTTTAAGTTGGCGTTGGCAAAAATATCGAAGAACATCGAGTGTATTCCAACAGAAGTGTAAATTTACAAGACAAACACAGACAAACACAGACGAAGAGTAAACTGTAGTAGGACTATTTCTTAATCTCGTCTCGGAAGGACTCGATCGATTTTGTATTAGTGGATTGAAAATATTTACTTTAGAGAAGCTTTATTAAAGTTTCATAAATGATTTTCAAATTAAATCTAGGCCAACGATCTTGGCGTTTGTATTGTGTGTATAAGGCAAGAAATTTGAAGAGAGATGTGACTCTATTTAATAGAAAATCGTAATTTCTTGATATAACTTGGGCTGCAATTATATCGAGGGTCATTATACACCAAATACCGCAATATGATTTTTGCTCAAAATAAATGACAATTATTCAACGAGTCCAAGGCTGGATTGTTCCACTTTTCGGTAAACTTCAGCTCACTATCTTACTCTCTTATGCTCTTACTCTTTTACTCTTTTGTTTATTCAGTAGGTAAATTACCACACACATAGTTTATCCGAAGATGAAACAACCGGCCCTAAGAGTTGCAACATATATTAATCTGTTTCATAATTTTAAATCTATGCGACTTTTGTTATTCCAAACACCACGATAGAATTGTTATCGTGCACTGCGAAGGTCGATTAATTAATACGTAATTTGAATAGATTTTGACAACGCGTTTTTTTAAATAACCTTTTTGGATTAGATACAGCGATCCTTCGTAAAATGTTACACATAATACGTACAAGAATAATCAGACGAGATTGATCTTGACGATCTAGAAAATAACGAAATCCGAGAATAAACTTCTCAATTGTCTGCTATTTAGATAGTATTAATTCTCAACATACGAAAAAATAACATGTGCGGCAGACTTTGTAGTTATAGTCACTACAGTCTAGTAAAATTTGCAGATCAAATGAATAATTAATAAACATCGTTTCTTCTAGTAGGGATCAATATCTTTCTAAAATTTAGTCAAAAAAAATATCACACACATATGCTTCCTCAAGCTGAGGATGCGTCCGACTATGTTCTCGGTGGCAGTCTCGAATGGAAAAAGCGAAATGAAACGTACATTTAAGACAGTACAACAGATGATTTAGCTATAACACATGTCTCAAATTTTGAAGATGGTTTTTAAGCACTGAGGAAAGATGTAGGAACAGGTTAAAATAAAAAAATTAATTTGGTATGTTTCCGAAAAAATTCTTTCTCAAAGACAGCTTTTCTGTTGTACGTTTTTATCTTGATAAAATTAACTTGGAAATCGAAACGAAATTCTAATCTGTATATATAAGATTAGAGAGACGAAGTTTTTATTAGAGTCGGACCAGACAAACGTTGTGAAAAGATATTAAAATCAATGTTGAAGAGTTTCAAGTAGTTAATCGATCTTTTATAGTACTTGGAGCGCACGTACTATTGGTGCTTTAATATATCAGTTATCGGATACAAACGAATATTAATGTACGAAGCACACGGCCTTCCATTTGATCGTATCGGCCTGTGATGCGTTGCGAAGAGTCATGCTACCGAATACATTTAGCGGTACCAATAATTAGCTAATTAACAATACACGATATTGAGAGATAGATGAGTTATCGCTCGATTTTTGTAGGATAGAACCTTGCATCGTCTCGCGGTCTCTTTAACGATTCTCGCTGTTAGACTCTTTCGTCTCTCTTGAATCTTAAACGACGCTTTAAACGATCGACCCGGCGATGAGAGAGCCGGAGAGAGGTGGATCCTGAGAGCTAGAAGTAACATGTATGTCCTTCGACCCTGACAATCGTCCATCCTTCGTGGATTTATCGCAATCTTATCAGTTGCGTGCGCGACAGAAGGAAATGAAATGCGATTACATTCGGGACATAACAACAGTACGGATAATTTCTCTCGTTCGAAATTCCGTAATTGCGCGAGATTCTAATAATGCAACCATTTATCACCGCGAAACGATATAAAATAAGATGTCTTTACCATGATAAGAATATCGATATATAGTCTTTGATAGTAATATTTATATAAAATGTGTTATTATTTCAATGTCGTATGTTAAATAGTCTAAGCTATTTGGCCAATGGTTGCAAAAATAGTTGAAAAATAACTGCCTAAAGCTGATGTCGATCTGATTTCGTCGAAGATGCCATTCACAATCAGATTAGCTATAACACAGATTCGTATAACTTTCAATGCTCTTTATGTTGCGAGTAATAAATTATTTGTTCGACGTGTCTAATCACACTCCATTTTCTTCTGTCTTGTCGTAGATCGCGTTTGCGAGAGATCAGTTTCCATCCCTAACTGGCGTTTACTTGACATACGATAATTATAAAATTAATTACATAATAATCGCGGAATAATCTTTTCTCGGAAGATTTCGAGAAGACTGTATAAAGACCGCATAAAAACGTCTTTCAAATCTCGATTGGTTGAGCTATACCCGGTGGACATGCTAATTAGGAAGTCAATAGAGAAGAATGTATAAACACCCGAAGGTCGCCGGTGACGTTACCAGTTAGGGGTTGAAATCCCAATCACGTAACGCGATTGAGGACACGATCCACCTTGCTCAACGTAAGATACTTAGACGCTGCTTCGCGTAAGGGCGAGCGATGTCGGAACTTTTAGGAATTTAATATTGCGAATGCGCCGGCATTTGACCCGCTTCGGTTACTGACCGATCGATCGTCGGAGAGCTGCGAGCTTCGATGGACTACATTTTTAAACGCCAATCCGCGTTCGCGGATAGTTTATACGCCGAGTGTCGTGCAGAAAGAAGAAAAAGCGTGCATCAACTTCATTGTTTCGATACCTTTTTTTTTCTCTTTGATACCTTTTTTACACAGTTTGACTTTTGTCGAAGCTTCATGTAAAACATGTGCGTGTTGGTGCGCGCTTTCCTTTTCTCTTTCTCTCTATTTAAATATTTGAGAGAGATATTTGATTATTAATATTTACTATTAAAAATCTCCACATAATTTGAATGATCTTCGACGATCGATTGGTTGATGAACCGATACGCAATATGTTGCACAGTACGATTGCTGCTAGAGGATAAGAAGATTGATTAAACGTTGAAAACTTCATCTAAGGTAGATAGATTAATATAAGGCATCTTTCCATGCGCCATGAGAGAAACTTCCATCGTTTAGGGATAATCCAATTGGCGAAAGTATTGTGATATTATTTAATTCGAGTAAAAAAAATCTATCGACGAATGTAAAAATTAAATATACAAATTAAACGCCGACGTATAGATAATTTAATATCAAACGCGTGAGGTTAGCAACTAAATAATTTCTAATTTGCGCAAGTATTGATAAAATTTAGATCTATTATATTGTAATGTTAGAATCGATTCTGTCTTTCATTTTCTTTTTTTTTTTTAATTTGCGACTGGATGTCCGAAATGCGAGCTCGACTTGGCGTCTAATCGAAAGATGCAATTGTAATTAGGTTAAATTTTAACTGTTAAGTAGTAAATTGTAAGGTCTAACGGATCGAAGAATGTGCGAAATGGTTAATCCCGAAGTCCAGTAGTGCTAACGATGGCTGTGATAAGGATAAGGAAATATTAACGAGAATTGCAAAAAGAAAAAATATACTAACGAAACAAATGGATTAGTAGCGAAGCTTCTCTTCCTCTCTTTCGATCTAATTTTTAATGCCGATATATTAATTTCGATATAGTATTAGCCGTACGATACACCGATAGATATAATTATGTCCGAAAAGTAACAGCAAACTGATACATCGAAAAAACAGCTTCTTCATAACGTCGTACTTTAGTTGCACAATATTGATTATGGCTAAGTAAATAATGGCTTAGTAAACAATACGCGGGGTGTTCATAAAATTGTCGCATTTGTCTTGGTTAAAAAATAATAAATTTGTAACGCGTTTCCTCATGGATTTCAACATACGGTAAAGTTACTTTATCCAAAGTAATCCTAATTCATAAATTTTGACTTTTTTTTTTAATGCCGAATATAATACTACAGTTAGTATTTAGTAAATTGCATATTTTTTAATATTGCAAATTACAAGTTTGACAGAAGAAAAATGCGACAGTTTGGGAACACTCGAAAATTTTAGAGAGGAAAAAAAATTCGGCTTCTTCGACCTCGTTTGAGAACATTCGCGACATTCTCGATGATATATTCATCATATTTTTCTCTTGTTCGTTATGACATAAAAATACATATATAGTCTACGGAAACTCTGAATTAGCGAAAGTTATCGTCATTAGGCGAGTCTAGTGTCTCGTTATAACATCAGTGTTTACAACAATGCGATACACGTACACACAGCGATTAAGTATATACATACATAAATACATAGAAACACGCAACTATGACACAGTATAGTTACAGATCAATGTTCGTATCTCGTTGTACGGATATTTGTATTTAAACGTATTGAACATTAAATGTGAATTATTGTATCAACCGCCGCTTTTTGTGCTGATGATGTATAATCGATAGATCCCTCGCGCGACGTTGAATCGAATTTAAGCGCATCCAGACACTCTCCCGACGAATCCAGTTTTGCGAAAGAGTGAAAAAAAAGTAAACTATATCACACACGCACACACACAGAAATAATGGCTCTCTGTGATACTTTTGTACAAATTCGTTTCCCGCGGGGATTACGCTAATTAAAATTAAGTGTTGAAAATCAGAGATCGCAGGCATTGTGCGCTTCGCGAATGTCTTTTTTCGCTTATCTCCGATCTCGATGGAGTTTTTTTATGCTCTCGACAATCGGAGTTGAAGTATGACGAAGCTTCCTTCGCGAAAAAGCAAATCATCAGGACAAAAAGTAACACTCCGGAGGACTGACGTTTCAAAAGTGGAAATAGGAAAAGAAACACGTCGTTAATGATCCTCCGGAGATCTTCTAATCGATATCTTACATCTTTCCTATTCTCGTTGCCGCAATCGCAAGTTTCCTCACCGCGGTCGCTCATTAAATTTGATTAAAATATTAGAAACCGACATATATCCAGTCTAAGTCATTCACACTACCTTCTTTTTCTTAAAAGTACGCTTCTCCTTCGCCTCTCTAACATCTCCCGAAAAATTGAAAGTCAATTATAAAAACCGTTTTTTTTGTTATGGAAAAATTTATTTATCCTAAATATATTAAAGTATATATAATTTATGTACACAAAAGCAAATTTAATTAAAAAATAATGGAATATCTTTGTTCCATTTAAAATGGCAATTGCGTTAAAAAAAAAAAAGATACGGAGGAGAAACGTCGGTATCGAGACTCGCGTTTCGAGAACAGCTTCAACTATCCCCTTTCATCTTAGGCATTCTCAATTTTCCAGGAGGAAGCGGACTCGGAGCCGGCGGTGGCGGCAGCGGACGGGCTCGGGGCATCGGGGGTCCTGGAATGGGCATGGGTGTTGGCGGCGGTGGTCCGGGAATGTTGAGCCGGGCTGGTGGTTTTGGGCCGCGTGGTGGTGGGCCCCATAGCGGCAGCTTCCTGGGAGGCGGCGGCGGCGGCGGCGGCGGTGGAGGCGGCGGTAGCGGCGGTTACGTGCAGTCGCACTTCTGGTGACCATCGCGATGTGACAACGACGACGACAATGACGATAACGATAACGATAACAATGACGATGACAATGACGACCGTAATGGAGATACGCTTACATTCGCTGCAACACTGATCGCTGGCTGAAACCCTCTCTACTCATCTCGTTCGAAATAAAGTTCGCGAGTTTGATTGCTCGTAGCGTAGCTGAGAGCTAGAGGTAGGTCAGATAGAACCAGGGTAGACCAGTTTCCTATTTACAAGATGATATTGCACGAGAAGATAACTCGGTGTGTTAATACCAGTGTCTATAAGAGTTTTATGAATGGAGAAAAGAAATATTACGTTTTGAAAGAAATGTTTTATCGTTTGTTAATGCATGTTATTGAAGAATGTTGTTTAGCATTTTAAAATATGCCGTGCATATTTTATTATTAATAATATTTTTATCGGTATTGGTATTAAGAATGAGTTACATTTTCGTGGACCATTTTGTATTTTCGCGATAACCGCGGAAAAAACTGGATAGCGAGAGAGGACTCGAGACTGTCATTAATCTTCAATTTCATCAACTGCACACGTTGGATCTATTCGAAAACAATTCCGATCGAAATTGACTTTCTATTTGATTACAAGATACAGTTCGGAAATCTTTATTATTTCGGATACTAGCCATAACAGGATAACCGAGAAAGAGTTCGATCGGAATCGTTTTCGAATAAATTCCTATTATCTCTGACAGGTGTCCTGCTATCCGTTCAGCTGTCTACCTGGTTTTATTTTTTTTATCCAGTGCACGATCGTGAAGCTCTTGAGGAGATTTATATTGTCTAACGTTACAAATTATAACAGCCTTTTTTCCTAACAATACGGCGAAATTTTTAATGTGTATTTATTATAAATCACATAAGATCTGTTCCTTTTCCACTCCAAGTTCTGAACTGGTGTGCACTAATACAGTAAGTTAGAGTGAGACAGGTATAGTTGTTTCATTTTAATTTATTACACTAGTTAAAAATTCTTCGAAAAAAAGAACAGACCTATACATTATGCACGAGTAAAGTTAAATGAAACGCGAATCAATATCAATCTCACAATATTAAATTCAACCTGTTTTAACATTCTAATTGATCAAACGTTGCTCTAGCTTCACGATCACTCGAACGTTCGTTCCAATTCGTTCCAGTCAGTGGTCAACTAATATAATTATGCAATATGGTATAAAGTTTAAAAATAATGTACCTCAAAATAATAAATTTATGACCACGAGGTATTGAAGGGTCCAGAAGGATCCGTTATGCAGAACAAAATAATAAGAATTCTACGTGTTGTATAAATTTCATTTTTTTTTTTTATAGTTCTAACTCTTGAGACTTTACAAGACATTTAATTATAAGACAGAGTTTTATCATAGGTCGAATTTGGGGGGAAGTTTTAGGACACGCGACAACGTTTTCCCTTCGACGCGGCGCTGGATATCGGTGGTATCCTGCGGCGAAAATTGTACATTTGTGAGATACAATTTTTTTCCTTTTTTTATCAAATAGGGCGCATAAAATAAAAAGATTCTTTCGGGAAAATCCAATATCTGCAAAAGAATGTAAATAATTATAACCGCAATATGATATTATATATATCGCAATATAATATTATACATATATAATTATATATTCTACAATTATAGATAATCAGATATAATAATGAAAGAGTTTGTCATATATGAAAGGGGGCGCCAAAATTGAAATTTGAAAGCATTTTATTAATTAGTAATATATTAAATTATAATTTTTATGTCATGTTTAAAAATGTTTTTTTAATTCTCTAATTCGTTTCTCGTTCGTAATCGTTTTTATTTGGGTATTGGATCTTCCGAAAAGGCATATTTATAATTATGATCTACGATTGAATTCCAAATCATTCTAGTTTGTCATGAGACCGAGAATACGTGATCCGAACGTGTGTCGTTAATTTAGATTAAGAGAATTTTAAACAAGTGCCGCGTGGAAGAACAGGGTGTGAATGTAATTTATTTTAATATTTGAGAGCAGTATTAGAACGAGATCGCGTATTCTTTCGCAGTCCTATGGACACACCTTCGGCACACGTTGCATGATGTATTTAATTTCATCCGACGCTTCGGTAGCGTTTTACGAGATTCGTAAATAATGTTGCTGAAGAGAGAGAGAAAGAGAGAGAGAGCGAGAGAGAGAGAGAATGAGTGAGAAAAATATCACATAGAAGAATACATCTTTGAAAAAAGATATTTATGTAAAGTCGTAAACTACTTGGAATAAATACCATTAGCAACTATATATTTAGCTTTTGTTAATTTCGTTAAGTAAATATTTCGATTCATTAATGTTATTTTTTAAAATATTTTGTATATACATGCGGAGAATCAATATCAAAATTTTAAGTCGCGTGTACTTAAAGTCTGTTGATTAGCATAGAAGCTTAGCGCCGGTGAATCTCGAGGAGCGTTCAATTTTGAACAATTGATCACCATCGTTATCCTCGCCGCAAATGGTGTACATAGACCTTTAGGGAGACTAAGACACTATCGCGACCTTATAGACGATGAGACTGACTTTTTATAGGGGACAGATTTTAAGCGAAGTACGTCGAAGTCGCATGTCATATTTTTAGATAAAAAGGAAAAAAGGGAGAAATAGCGAGCTGTACTTGCCCCGAACCTGCTGTCAGGTTCCAAGGACAGCGCATTAATTGTTTATTACAAAAATCTGTGATTTGTACAAAGAGGGGAGTGAACGAGAGATATATCGGTCATCTTAGAGAGATGAAAAGGAAAAGGATCGTTATTTTACGTCCAAGTGAAACGATAAAATCTGAAGCAATAAAGATAGAGAAGTAGAACCGATCACTCTACTGTTGGATTAAGTTAACGTTATATTTTATAGAATAATGTGCAGAATCTTAATTTGATAACTACCCATTCTTATAAAAAAAAAAAGATCGTTTAATTAAATCACACTGTTGCTTTTATATTTATAGACATAATTTAGTAATGTTTTTAAAGTTACCTGAATATAATTATTATAACTCTATTATTATTATTAATCTTATTCTACTATTATCATATCATTTTATCATCGGCATTAAAGCTAGGCAATATATAACTATACAAATCGATCTGCAGGTTAAGTAGCATAATTTATTTATCACTTTAATACAGCTATCATTCTGCAATGTATGTATAAATCGTCAAGACTCGTGTAATTACAGAGAATAATCACACGCGCAAGAATTAAATAGCGAAATAAAGCGATATACTTGATTTATGAATTGAACAAGATATAACTAATACAGCTAAATCGTGTGAATGACATGATAATTGACATTCGTTGCAAATTTGAAGCAACATACACATTTCCACAAATGTATAAGCTCGTGCATAAGAAAAGATCGTAATAAATATCGAGATACTAATATTAACAAGGAATAATTATTAACACATTTACATGAATTGTGATGTCGCACCAATGGATGTGTACCAAAAAGTTGAATAAATTACTGTCCGCTGCGAAGAAGATTTCTTATAACGATATTTTACAAAACTTACCGTAGAAATACGACCTGGTTGAAAAGTATTGCGAATAATTTAGATTCGTACCTCTGAGGGGAAGATTGCAGGAGTGTTAAAACAATTACTGGAAAATATTTTATTAATTATATTTTATTAATAAAATATGTGATCAGATGTTACGCATCATAATACAAATCTTTGTTCCATTCTGATATTGATTCAGTGAAAAAGATACATGCCGTGTTTTACAGAGAAAATGGAAACAAAAAATTGTCGAGTGCTTTGATACGTTAGAGTATTTCTGCAATTAAAATTTCCTATGATATACGTTTCGTGTAGTTTCACCGATGAGTATGCCCGATCACAGTGTTGCCCTTCAAAAGGCAGCTCGCATAAAAAAAGAAGCAAAGTGCCTGATGACGAGCCGCAATGTAATCGCACGTTTGATAATATCTTCACTGCCGACATTGTTTTGCGCTATAAATGTAACTGATTTTACTAAACATAGTTTGTGTCATATATAATAGATATTTATACGCGTTCCATTTACATATTATGGAAATACTGAAATTACAAACCATTAGTGATTACAAGATAGTATCTCTTTTTTCCCCCGTTGGTGATTATCTGATTATATTTCACCTCATAAGTATAATTTTTATTTTTAATGTTTCGCAAATGACACTCTTGTTATGTTTATAATTTACTTCATGATCGAATATTATCTTTCAACCAGTAGATGATTAATTTATACGCTTTCTTTAATTTGTACACGAATTTAATTTATTCTAACTATACAGTGCCTTACACTTTTCACTGTTACATTATGTGGAGCGCACTTCGATTAATATTATTGTCACAACGTGATACGCGGGGATACATGTTTGGAGCAACGAGTTGCGAGCGATGGAAGGCGCACTTTCAGACTGATGATTTCCAAGTTCGACCGGGGAACTTTATAACGCAAACGATTCCACCCACAGGATGCTGCGGCCTAGAGATTAGCCGGCAAGCTTGTGAAAAGAGGAAACAGGAAAGGGGCGGTTAGACCAAGATACGTAAGTTTATCCTGAAGAGCAACTACACGTTCTTTTCTTCACATGATACTCGTTAAAAAATAAAATATGCGCATATTTTTTAAAATAATCTTGACGATAATAATTAATTTTTTTTACGTTCAGTCACATTAGAAAGGCTACTCTAATATCTGCGATACTAAAAAAGTGTAATTAATAATTCTTTGATACCGATTTGATAATTCCATTTTTCAAAATGTAATATCGAAAAACGAAACAAAAAGTGATTTAATATCCGCAACTTCAAAAGAATAAATATCCACGTTTGTATAAATTTAATGTAATGTCTTTTTTAAATAATTTTATTTTTATTTAAACGATTCCAAAAATTATTTTGGAAAACAAATATATATTAATGCATATTTATTAATACATATTTGAATGTTACACTGAAGATGACACGATTAATGTGTCGAAACGTTTGTGATTAAAATGGTATATTACCGTAAGAATTTATAATAATTTCGCAAAAAATTTCCTGCGTTTTTATGTTCTTTAATATTGAATTGTTTTTATTAAAGCTTTATTTTACAAATATATATTTTTTTTTCAAAATTATTTAAGAACGTATTTTAAAAAAGATATTTGTGAGAAGGAAAATTTCGTTTTTAGATATATTATCAGATTCAACAAATTGAAGAATTCTGGGAAACACCAAGATGGAATATCTCACCGATTGATTTTCAACGGCCGCAGCATGGATTCGTCATTCAACCTTTGACCTACACTAGCGTCTTTTTTGTACACTCTTCTCAACCGTCGGTCCCCATTGAACGAACGAAAGTTCTCCCCAGGAGACACAGCAAGATGTTTTATACAAATTGCACGCATCTGTTCCGCGTGTGTTTGAAAGCACAAATCGGTCTCGGTGATCATGGAGTTTGTAGGTAAAATTATTTATGCCTCGGTTTATTAACTAAAAATTTTTTTTATGTTTCTTGATTTTTCAGCTTCCTGTTATTAAATACTGTTATACCTTAAATACCGTTAGAATTATTAATTGTGCTGTAAGAAACTCAACAATAACAACAAGCTGACCGCAAACCTCTTCCCAAGTGGAGTTGATAGAAGAAACCTTTTATCACACACATTATACGTTTTATATATTTCAATTGTTACGCGTTGTGAAAAATAAAAGAAAAATAGAGCGTTCTAGAAACTCGATTTTAATTTTAAATAATAATGGAAGGATGAAAAGATTTTGCGGAGAAGAGACGTAACGCGTGTACGTAAGGAGCTTTCGTA